TATATATATAGTAAGCATTCTTTATTTTGCGTTTTTCAGTTTATAAATAATAATTTTTTAAAAATAATGATTTTTTTGATAAAAAATGTTGCCAAAAACTTTTTTTGCAAAATTAAACTACATAACATTGCATGTTTCTGTATACTTTTTGCATATTTTAATGTTTGAAGTAATATGATTCAGAAAAGTATGGAATAAAAAGTTTAAATAGATTTTTCATATTAGATTATTAAATTTAATTGAGCGATTTTGCAGGCATTAGATTTTAACTCTGATAAGAAGATAAGGTACATATATTTTTTCTGTGTATTTACAAATGTTTTTCTGATGTGTTTTGGATGTTCCTTCTCCAAATAAAAGCGATTTCATTTTGTATTCGCGTGCATAACAAAGAATAGTAAACATTTTTCTTTTTTAAACTTGTGGGGGGTGGAGTTACAGACTATGTCAACCGTCATCTATGAAAAGGTACCCCGACATAGAGTCGAGTTAACATGTCTTATATACTAGTGAATTGTAGTTGTAATTTTGTAGTGGTAGATACGCTACAGTACTCCCCCACCAGAATTATAGCTATGATAGAATTCGATGAATGGATGCCACTAGTTGATTCATTGCTGTTTTGTGCGAAGCCGGGAGAGCTGTATTAAGATCACTGTTTTTTTTTAGTGCTGAATGTGAGAGGTGTATTAACTTCACGGTCGTAGTCGCTCCTCTGTTGCCGGTAGCAGTCGAGTAATCACAAGTATGCAAGCCGATGTTGTGTGTGATCCAGATGAGACTGAGTAGCAACTGCGTGAGGAGGTGGATATTGATGCTGTCACAAGTAGCAAGTCAACTGTTCAATATGGATCATCCATCGAAGTAGGCGTTACTGTCTAGGTAGGCGTGTTCATATCGAAGTGGGCGTTACTGCCAATGTAGGCGTGTTCACATCACGTCCGAAGGTCACCAATGTGGGGGGTGGAGTTACAGACTATGTCAACCGTCATCTATGAAAAGGTACCCCGACATAGAGTCGAGTTAACATGTCTTATATACTAGTGAATTGTAGTTGTAATTTTGTAGTGGTAGATACGCTACAAACTTAATAAGTCACAATAAAGATGGAACGTTACGATGCTACAATGAAGAAATCTCCAGTGCAACTGATGATCGAGTTGTTCTACTAGCAGGCATTCGTCTCAAATAATAACGCCTCTATAGTTCGTTGATTTCGCGAATACTGAAGAAATCTTCAATACAACGGAACGTATTGTTCTGCTATAGACAGGATTCGTCTCAAATAATATCATTCTCTGTAGGTAGTTGAGTTCACGAACACTTTTCACACTTAGATTAGATTGTCAAAAATATTTTCTGAAATTCCCACGATGCTTACTTGAAGAATTATTTAATGCAGTTTTCAGTTGTTATGCAATCATAATGTTTCAAATCTTAAAATATTTTAATCAATTTGAAAATCAAGAGAGAAACTGACTAAAATTCCTATTCTTATCACTGGTGTTGCTTTGGGTAAAGAGTTCCGCTACGCTACACATGTAGCCCATTTCGATCACCAATTATTAATGACTTATATTTTGCAGTTAATTATTTGCACGCAGGTCGTCGGGCTACTAAAGCTGGGATTCAACTACTCCGCAAAAGATCAAAATTAGCATGTCTTCGAATCTTCCTCAGGAAAATTTCCCCAACCGTCGCTAATTGCCCATTTTGCAGCTATAGGGCGACATAAATTAACAAGACTATGAATTTGTGGAAATTCTTTTATAACCATGTAAACGACGTATTTACCTAGTTATACAGTTAACATTATATTAATAAAAAGCAAGTTTTACGTCGATTGTTACAATGTGGACTATTGATGAAATAACCGTATGTTCTTCCCTCGATCGTGTTGCATGCGAATGATGTTGTTGTTAATTTACGTCGCACAAGAGCTGCACAATGGGCTATTGGCGACGGTCTGGGAAACATCCCGGAGGATGATCCGAAGACATGCCATCGCAATTTTGATCCTCTGCGGAGGGGATGACACCCCCGCTTCGGTAGCCCGACGACCTGCGTGCGAAGTCGAGCACTTTACGGTAGCACAGTTTAACGAGGACCAATACTGCACACCCTCGGTCCCTACGCAGACTGATCCAAGTGGTCACCCACCCGCTCACTGACCGCAGCCAGTGATGCTTGACTTCGGTGCTGCTGGGAACCGTGTCTTAACGATCAATCCACTGCGGGACTGCATGCGAATGAGAACTTGATTATGGAACGATTCTCTCAACATGCGATTTGCCTGGGAGATCGTTCATCACTGCGATTCGTGAATGCGCAAACAGTTCATCTTTGTAACCAATTACAATGGATACGAAAAATTCGCGAATGCTTATTCGGAGAGACGAACTGCAAACGAGAACCTTGTTCGTGAAATATTTTACCCACGAAAAATGCGCCAATCGCGGACTCGCTCGCTTCTCCAAATTTCTGTTTTTATATTCAGTGCAATGTTTTTGCATCATTAAGAATTGCACTTCTAGTTTCTATATATTTGCATGCGCCTCTAGGACAATCGTTCGCTGTGCGAATGCTCTCTATTAAGCATAAAAAAGATAATTTTGAAACATTATTTAAACCAGAAATTGATCATAATAATTTGGTTAATACTTAAGGTAGGTACTATTTACGTCGCACTACAGCTGCACAATGGGCTTTTGGTGACAGTCTGGGAAACAACCCTGAGAATGATCCGATTCATAATTATTTATAAGTAAGATATTCAGATATATAGATTCAGAAAATCAAGTTTTAATTTGCATGAAAACTATCCTTAAGAGCCATTCGCACTACATCTAATTCAAGCATGTATGTTCACGTGAAAAACATAAGTTTGAAAATGCAAAAACATAAGCTGACTTTGACTTTGAATTTTAACAATAAATAAATTTACAATGTTGGCAACATCTGTTCCTTTAAGTTTCATGTCTTTGTTTTGATTTGTACTTGTTGCAGTCAGCTTTGAATTTCGTAAATTTTTAGGTGAATTCTAATATTTTTCTTGCTTAATGTAATTGATATCTTTATAATGAAGTGTTAGTCATTGCTAATAATTGTAGAATTTATTACTTTTAGAAATCTTCTTTTATTTTCTTGAATTTCAATTTTTATTCAAACTAAACGTGTTTCCAAAGTTTTTATTGATAAGTTATATTTTGCTCCTTGTACTCTTAACTTTTTAAGAATAGCATTGAATTTTACTACATTTTTCGCAACTGAATATCCAAATTCTTAATTTAAACTTCCCTTTAATTTTATTACGTATATTAAACTTGAAAGACTTTTATGCACGATGGTATTACTTTTAACAGGATCATATTATTTTGTATCGTGATATTTCTTTAACAACAGAGATATGTCCTTAAAATTTCTTGATTTAATATTCTTGAAAAATGCAACTCATTTTTAGTTACGTTGTATTTATTGTTTATGAATTATAAGAATTTTTATTATAAATTGTATAATTTCCTTTTCCTGATGCCTTCAGTTTCTTATAGTTGGGGAATTAATATAGATATTCATGACTTTACTTGGTTTCATTTGTCGAATTTTATTATAGTTTTGTTTAAGATATATATATTATACATAAATGCATGGTCTTGTAGTAAGAATATTATAATATTTAAATCATTTTCTTTTTCCCATTCATTTTACAGTTGAAAATGTTAACTCCAGCATTTGAATTATCTCAAACTGATAAGTTCTTAGTCGTCAGCATTCAAGTACCATTTGCAAAGGTAACTCAACTTTATGTTATTACTTATATGAAGCCATTTGTAATTATACTACTGCTGTAAAATTGTCAATGGGGATATTTCTGTCTTGGTTTCTGTGCTGCTAGCATTAGTTACAAATACCCAAGCACCAAAAAGTTTTTGTACTTGTCAAAATATGTTTTTTTTTTTTTTTCTTTATTGAAGATATAGTGGTGTTAGCTTTGAGTTATAATTTGTAAGCTGGTCCCTTTCGTAATATTTTTTTTTATTATTTTTTATTTATTTGTTAGTTTCTCCCCTGGTTGTTGAAAAAAAAAATTTGGTGTAGGTATTCAGTATGGAAGTTTTCTCCTGTTTAAAATAACTTGTTCCCTTCTTTGCTTCTTTTCTTTTTTTATCTTAAGTTCATTATTTTAAGACATAATTTATTTGTAACTTTTATTAGGTGAGCTAGCATGTAATGTATTTAATTTGTTGCAAAATCAAAGTAATACCATTTGGAAATATTAGTTATTGCAAAAAAATACCTTATGGAAATAGTCTAAATTTAAATACAGAATTTATTACCTACATTTTTTTTATTGTGTCTTTACAAGGTTGATGATCCCACCATCATTCCTAACTAGATTTTTTTTTGTGAATAAAACTAATTTTAAATAAATAAAGAACTACCTTTTTTAAAAAAAATATTTTAGTTATTATTTAATATTGTCGAAAACTTAGATATGTGCTTTTGCACACTTAGTAAGCTTTTTCATTATCATCCAATTGAGAAGTGAAAAATATGTATGTAAATTTTTTAACACTATTTTCGGTAATTATGAAGCGAAAGTTGCAGTAAAATATTTATTAGTGATTATAAATTATGTCTTTCTGTTTTGTTTTTTTTTTAAATATATATATATTTTTCCTTAGGTAAATTTTTTTTTTATTTCGTGAGTTTTTTTTTCCTGGTCAAATATTATTTTAGGGCAAATTGCAGAAAGATAATGTATAGCTGACTTGGTTAGTATTAAACAAAGTAGGTATAGTAATTTTTTCTGAAATGGTAGAAATGTATAAGAGCCAGATAATCTTGTCCTAGGTCGGTTAATGATTATGGGTTGGATCTTGGTTATTACCAAATATTTACCTTAATTTTAAAGCAAAAAAAAAAATATATAAATCATTCTTTATCTATTTTGTAAAGGTAAAGGTTTTGAAAAATGAATTGAGCTGGTTTTAAAATCAAAAGTATTTACCTTTTTCATACCCAATGATATTTTAATTCCAATATCTTTCTTGATATGGTTCTTGCACTAATAACTTCTTACTCTCTTATTTACTCTGTGTAGGTTTCCGATGTACAAGTTGAGTTTGAAGACCATGATTTTATGTTTTATTCTAAACCATATTTTTTGAGGTATTAATTGTTCTTTCATTTGATTATTAAAAAAAATTTTGACTGTTGCTTAATATTGAATTAAATATTTTTGTTTCAGATTAAACCTTCCTGGTAGAGTTACTTACACGGAAGAACCATCTATAAAATATGATTTTGATAAGAGTAAGTAGATTTAAGTCTTAAATGCATGAAAATTTCTAATAAAATAATTCAGCTTAAAAAAGAAGCTGATGATTTGTACAGTCAGCAAAAATAATAATAAATAAAACACTTTTAATCTAATTATCAGAATTTCACTTGCTTGATAGTTTGAAAAGAGTACATTTAACTATGATAATTAATAAATTAGTGTATACAATATCATAAATTGTAAAATCAGAAACATGATTTAATATTTTCAATATTTTACAATGTTAAATATTCAGTGTATTATTAAGTAAATTGCGAATACTCAATTGTCTTTTTAATTTGTTTGTAAATTTCTAAAAATATGCTGCACTACTTAAATCTATGTAGAATATCTATTAATATTGAATGAAATATAAGTTTTATTATTATATATTTATTTAAATGGAATTACGATGTGCATCTAGTTAAATTTTTCTAATACTTAAAATAGTTATGAAGATATAAAATAATACTTAGTTTATTCTGTTCTAAGGAGATTTTGTATTTGTATGTAACTTGTTATTCATTGCAGTTTTTTTTTTTACAGGAATATTTATTATTAATGTCCCCAAAGTTCAAGCAGGGGAAGTTTTTGAAAATCTAGACTTAATAACTAAACTTCTAGCTCCAAAGAAAGGAAAAACAAATCCCTCACCATTGATAGAAGTTATTGGTAATATATATTTTCATATATTATACATCATATTTTATACTTTTGATTTATTTTGTATTTCTCTGTTATGTATGAAGTCCTGAATTTTTCATGTCTTGATAATGTAGAGATTTACAATCATTCATTATTTATGGGTTCGATATTTCCTCTATTCAGACTGTTTGCAGAAATAATCTACTGCAATTGCAATGTTTTTTGCATTTTTTTTCAACTTGGAAAGAAATAAAAATTATCTGAATCAATTTAAAGTTAGTGCCTTTTATGTCTTTGGTATTTTGTATCTTACCCCTCAAACAGTAACTAAGAAATTTCTCATAATAGTACCAGTCTCCTTATATGCAATACTCATTTTGATGAGCTTTTACTGTATAATCTTATTTAATTAAAAAACGTTACTACAAACAAGATAATTGGAAAATTTTTCTAATGTTATATTTTGCTACATTTATGATTTTTTGTTATTCAAGGTTTTCAAATTGTTCCATTCAAACAATTCGTTCAACCACAACCCATTACGGCGTACCGTCATCCGTAGCGTGTGAAAGCGCCAATCATTTTACATGTTTGATGAAATACTAACAGGTTTGAATGTGAATGTACTGAGCTGTATTCAGTAGAAAGGATTCTTGTGCTCTCATGAGCAACTCTACTGCATTTTGCTGAAGATTCTCAATTTCAAGCTTCATTTTCTGCCCTCTGAAATCAAACCGAAAGATCTCTGTAATTTTTGCTGGCTACAGGGCCCAACTAAACTTTTGCCAATTTTCTTTTCTCTAACAGAAAAACAACATTTTTGTCTTTATCACTGGCAAGCTAATGGCCTTCTCTCGCTCATCTATTTATAGATTAATACTTTAATACCTGGATCATTCACTAATTACGTAATCTCACTTGGATCCCCAGAGTAGTAAAGAATCAGAATGCTTCATCTTTCATCTACTCAAAATTTTCCACCTCCCTTTTATTCATTTAATTTAATAAATATTAGAATTGAGATTTTTATTTGTAAGACTTTTTATCTGAGGGACTGTCCAATGATGGCATAAAATTTTATTGTACTTTACTTTTTTTTACTTATTACTTTTTATCATTGTATTACTACTTTTAAAACTGCTCAAGGAGAAATTCTTCTTATATTTTAAAGTAATTATTCACAAACGATTGTTTTATTATATTTGTATCTTTCTTTCTTTTTTTTTTTTGTAGAAGGCTGTGAGGATATAGAAAGTGATGAAGAATTTGATTGGAGTATTGAACAAGTTCCTTCATCAGATGATTTTGGTACTTTAAATATAATTGGACAACAATGTGGTTTTGGAAATAGCTATTCTTTCTCAGTGTTTAATCTAAAAGTAATAATTTTTTGTAATTAGTTTTATTAAAGCTTTAAACTAAAATTTCCACAGATATTTCTAAATATTTTACATGTAGAAGCCATCATCATGATACATTAAAATAGAATAGTTCAAATCATATAACCTTAATATAAATATCTTTTCCCTCATCAATTTTAGAATTTCTTGTTTGTATGTGTTTGACTGTTAAAATATTACTTAAAATCGAAAATTAAAACTTGGCTAGGTAATAAAAGCTGTTTACTATCAAATCAAACTATATTTATGAGTAGACAAAAAGACGATTTTGTTTATCGTTAGAATAGAAAATAAAAATGTGAATTTTGCAAAAACTTTTGGCCTGCCACAAATTCAATTTAAGTTGCTTAAATTAATTTTCCCCCCTCACAATCCTTGTTATTTATTATCTCGTTAATGTGGATCAACACTCGATAGACAATCAAAGTAAAGTTTGAAAAACACTCTTAGTTGTAATGGTTTCATTCTGTATTAAAGTTTATAAGATAAATAGCAATCATGAAAGAAGTGAAAAGTTTAACCATTTTTTGATGCCTAGAAATTTTATGAGGAACTGTGAAACTTTTACATTAAATTTTATTAAAGCTTTTCTACTGGTATATATCTGAAGATCAATAGTTTACAGCTGTCATGTTTATTACTATTGTATTAATTTGAGCATAATTTGGTCATATTAAATTCGACAAATGACTCTCAATTCTTTAGGCGCAGTCAATAAATAATAAAGCAAGCTCTTTCATATATTTTTAATAAAGCTTAAGTATTGGCTTCCATTGTTTTGGCTTATAGTTTCATTGTTACATTAGTCACATGCTCCTAAAAAATATTGACTGCTGCATGCATCAGTTATACACCAATACCTGGATTTTGTCATCAGTTGGAAAGTGTTGTTCTTGCAGCATAATGTGTTTTTTCTTTTTATAAAAAAAATATCTATTTGAAAATGTGAAAATGACATACAAAACTAGACTAAAGAACTGTTGAATTCGAGTACAACTATTTAAGATGATTTAAATACTAAACAGTATTTAAAGAAAGATTAAATAAGTGCATTTCAAGCTGAAAATATGGCAGTTAGATAAAATTTGTTGTTAGTCATGTAATGTAGTTTGTGTTGATAATTCTGATTTTAAATCTCTAAAATTCTTTCTGTGTCAAATGTTTCATATAATATGTACAATATCTTTTATTTCATAAAAAGGAAAGAAATTTTTCCTAATATTTGTGCATTATTATTTCTTGTTATAATTATTTCATTAAACTTGAAATGTTTAAAAATTGTTTTTATTTTGTAATTTTTCTATCTCAGGAAGAAGCTGTAGAAATATTTGATGTTGAAGATCCTCAAAATAAGACACCAAAAATGAAACGAGAAGAACGGTTAAAGATGGAAGCAGAAAAATTTGATGAAGACCATTACATGTATGCATTTTTGTTAAGAGCTTTTTGCAGTGACGTTTACTTTTGCATACCAGTGTTCAGATTTCTAAAGACTGGTATGCAAAAGTGATCAAAATATTATTATTAGTTAAAATTCTAATGTGTTCAGATTATTTATACAGTTTACAACCCTTGATGTTCTGATTTTTGCATTTTTCTGCCAGGTACTTCTTTGAAAATTTTAATTTTTGTCCTAAGCATATAGTGTTGCGCAATACTAAGTATATAACAATGATAAATTATTTCCTTGTCATAAGAATATTACTAATTTTGGCTTCAAAATAAGTATTCAAAGTTTATGAACCACTTGAAAATTAAAAAAATTTTTGTCTTTAATGAAGTTAATTAAATTAGAGCAAGTTTTCATATTTCACTCTGAAAAATAATTTTTTTGATTACTTGCTTGTTTAAATAAATCCTTGAACTATATTTATTTGAGACATGTTTTAGTGAACGGAAATAAGAGAATTATATGATCAATAATATTAATCTTGTTAATGTTTTGTTGAATATGCTTTTAGGGGCCGTTCAAAAAGTACGTACACAAAAATGGAGAAATTTTAAACCCCTCCCCCCCCTTCGTACATTACCGTACATAAGGTCTTACTCCCCCCCCCTTAGAGTACGTACATTTTATTAGTCTACCCCCCTTTTTCATAAAAATTAAAATAATTATGTTTTAAATAAAATTAAATATTTACTTAAGGAGTGTGTAGGAAAAAGTCAAATTTAAATTTGGTGTATGTTTATAAAGTACGTACTTTGTATAATATCTCCCCCCCTCCCCATCGTACAAAACCGTACATAATAGCAAATCCCCTCCCCCCCCCTTCAGGATGTACGTACTTTTTGAACGGCCCCTTATAAATAACTTTTATTCATATAAAAAAAATACTCTCAATAACTTTTTCAAATAGTTAAACTAATTATAATTTTGATTTAAAAAAATTTTACATAATTAAATGAATTATTAATTTGAAGAATAGAATGAACCAATCAATATTAAATACATTTAAAATAATGCTTGGGCTCATATATTCAAGAAAAGGGTTTTGTTGTCTTTTGTAATTATTATAATATATATATATATATCTTTCAACAATTAGTGTACAATACCTAGTTAATAGTTATTTTTTTTAACAAAAAAGAGCTTAAAAAATTTTTTGAATTGCTTATTTTTTGTTGAAAAATTTGGCTATGAACCTTGTCATGTCATTCTCAGATATTGGTTAATTTTTTTTTCAATATAATTGCAAGGAATTATGTATTGTAATCTGAAAATAAATGTAATAGCATACTTTAATCAGTTCAGTTTTTTAGTTTGCCATGGTGAATTACTGTAATTGTTAGTCTATGTGAAATGGCACCTAAATATAAAAATCTTTATGATATCCCAAAATACTTTGGAAAAAAGTGGTAATTTTATGTAAATAATAAATGCAAATTTTTCAAATAGTTTTGTAATGCATCCTACATTCATATTTTAACAAGTGCGTAATGTAATAATTGAATATAAATATTTAGATGGGTGAATAGTGAATACTTATAATTGATATAATTCTTATAATTTTTTATGATACATATTTATTTATTTAACAAATCCTAAAATACCTCTTAATTCTCACACTTTTATTGTTAGAGCTGACTTATATGAAGATGATATTGTTCAACAAGTTTTGAAATATCAACCTGATTGGGAATTACTGTATGAAGAGATGTTTAGTGACTCGTCTCAAAATGTTGATGACAAAAGTATGTTGACACATATTTTTTAGTATGATTTTGCTGATTGTAATCAATTATTAAATATAAGCAAGATTTATTAAGATGATCTTACATTTAAAACTTAGAATAACTTAATTTGTGTATATTTTTAAAATATTCCATCTCTTATAATTTATTTTTATTAAATTTGTCTCTTCCTTTTAGTTGTTTTTACTACAGAAGAAAAGGAAAAGTTAATGAAGTTACCAAACAAGGAATATATCCTTTCTATTTCACTGCTCTTAATGGTTTATTTTAATGGTTATAATTATATATTTAAATATTTATAGTTATGAGCTCAGCTAGCAAATTATCTGGCAAAGAAAATCCCCAAAAATACTTTAAAAATATTTTCTACACCTATATTCAGTTTCTTAATCCTTATAGATATACTTGTAAGATTTTTAATTTTTCAAAAATTGACTTAATATAAATAAAATTATATTAACATTACCTTAATTTGAATCATTTTTATCAACCTTACCTTAATTTAATCAAATTTGGCTCTGGAAAATTTGTTATTGTCTTGAGAGGAGAAACTTTTTTATATGATATCCAAAATATGAAGCCTATTCTTATTGTATTTATTTTCAAAAATTTTTATATTTTATCTGTACTTGAAGAGAGAGTAACAAGAATCCTAAATTATTTCAAAAATAACAAATCATATTTTATTACAGCAACAAAAAAAGTGAGTAAAGCACAAATAAAAGTACAGTAATAGACACTATAGTTTCACTTTTTAAAAAAAAAAAAAAAAATTTCCTCATGGTCTAAACACCAAAGAATTGTAAAGAAACAAACCTATGCAAAGTGGTTTAACTAGTGGGGATAGGGGAACAAAATAATAAAAGACTGGAAATAAGAAGCAATTGTGAGACATTCAGCTGGAACTCTTGGATTGTAAAGAAGTGAAGAGACAAACAAATGCACAGTTGTTTAATCAATAAAGACAGAGGATCCAGAGAATAAAAGGAATTCAGGAGCAGATGTTATTGCATTTAGCTGAAATCCCTGGATACAGAAGATTAAATTAGAATAGATTCCCAAATATTGGGTAATATGCGATATTAGCAAGGTCATAAACTAAATTACTAGAATATTTGTTTCATAAGAAGAGTTCTAATTATATGTTTGAATTGTCTTCTAAAATTATTCAAAACTGCTCTTAAACTATCCCTCTTGATTTCTGAGACTCAATCCATACTTTGAAAAAATTAAATAATTTAGTTAATGATATTTCTAGTATCCCACAGTTTCCCAATATCTGGGGATTCCTAATCTAATCCTTAGCACCCTGGGGTTCCTGTCTAACCCCCTCACTACATGTTTCTTCTGTTATATTGTTCCTCTGTCCCTACTGGTTTCACCACTTTGCATTTACGACTCTCTTTATTTCTCTACTATCATTTGGTGTTATGACACTGCAGAAGATTCTTGTATTTAGAACCAAATGTATGTTCTATAATGTACTTTCAATTTTTTTCCCTTTAGTCTCTATGCATAAAGTATACCACTCTGTCTTTTTTACGTATTGTTACTAGCCTTAAATCTTTTGGAATGTGTACTACATAAGACCCAAATATATATATTTATAAAATGTTTTATTTTGATGAATAACAAATGTTGCCTTAACTTATATTTACATTTGCTCAATAAAATGGAGAGAATGAAGGCATTTTATTCTCTAATTGATATACTGTTTGCTTATGCTTACAACAAACGCACAACTGAAGGAGAAAATACTGTAAGTTTATTTTTATAAAATAACTATCTATTCTTTCTGTACAATTCTATTTGGATTTATCTTAATTTTTTTATCTTTTGTTTAGGTTGAATCTGCTTGGTCTATCAACAAACTTAGTGCTACTCTATCTTGGCTAGAAGTAAGTCTAATTCTACAGGTCTCAATAAACTAGGCAAAATAATTTTAAAAATTTGTTTAGTTTTAAAAGTATTGATAACCAAAATTTATATTGTACCGAAATTCATTCCTTTGTAAAATTTCATTTTTTACACAATCTTTTTCTATCTGTAATTTATGCCTGTCATTATCAGTTTTGATTTTTAAATATAAGTATTTAGAAATATTTAATTTGTTGTTTGTATTTCTAGACTTATGAGTCCATTGTAGATGTTGCACGCACTTGCATAAGAAGATCGTTGTGTTATCCTCTATGCCGACACTTTGAATTATCTGTTACAGTGCTAGAAGATGTCAGAAAAATTCTTTTGTTAGGTAAATATTAGTATGTATTAGGTATACACATTGTTTTGATTTTTCACAAGTTTGGATCTCCTTTGACAAAAAATTAAGTTTTGTCAAGAAATTATTCAATTTGTTGCAATGTTTATTTATCTTTTTTTTTTTTCTTGTTTAAAGTAATGAGAAATTTTATTTCTTAAATACTGTATCAAAATAGAACAGTATGCCATCTTAGAAAATTAATTTTGCGTTTATGTCTATTCTAAGTTTCTGAAACTTTTTTTTTGAGAGTTTTGTTGATGGTATTACCATCTCAATTGTTTTTCAAATGCTATGAATTTTAAAAAAATTAATCTTGGGTTTATTTACTTTTTAAATCTGAATCTTTTTATAGGTAGGAAATATGTTATCAAATGTTTATTAGAAATCCATCAGTTATTTAATCTAAGTGAGCCAAGATATATCCTAAATGATTTGTTCATAACTGATTTCTGTATATGGATGCAATCAAAAAAGTAAGTTCTTAAAATTAAGCTCAATTTATATTGTATTTTATTATATATATATATATATTATACCTGCCACCATTCATTCTTTTCGAAAATGGAGTTTCCAAGTGGTAGTAAAACAATTACCGAAAAATAGTTTTACTCAAAAAGATATTTATATTTTAACCAGGTTGAAATTCGCTATAGTGAGGACTAATATACTTTTTATATATTTGTTGTGATTATTTACATGTAGTGGTGGTCAAGCTCATTTTTAATTATTAATATTATTCAAAAAGTTTAGTGAAATAACATGGATTTTGCTAGCACTTTAAATGTGAAAAAAAAATCTGAGGGGAAAACCGGAAGAGTTGGCAGGTATGATATATATATTGTATTTGACATACTTGTGTAAATGTAATGATGAGCCACATTTTCAAAATGGTCAGGATAGGGTTTTGATGTGACACACCATGATTCCTATGTAAGCAAAAAGATATTTTTGTGTTTTGTTATCTTGTGGAAATACTTGAAACTTGCAAAGTAGGTAACTAGAAATAGTAATAAGAAACAATTGGATCTAAAAAAAGTAATCTTTGGGAGAAGATTGACTTTTCATATATCACCACAAGTCCATGTATGTAAACATTTATATTAAATATAGCTTGAATTGAAATGATACTATGCACTTTTAACTTACTAATGTCTACGCTTATTACTGGTTATATTGAAAGTTTATTATAATTTATTAATATTCAGCTGCAGATATTTTTCTTGGGTCTCAAGTTGACCTTTTTTTCTCCTTTGTGTAATTATTGGACAAGAATTTTTTCCCCCTCTAAATATTTCCTAGTTTTATTTTTAATGTTAATGTATGCAACTATTTGCATTGGCTTTGTCAGTGTATGACTCCAAACTTAATAATTGAAAGAAGAAAAAAATTTATACATTTTGCATATCTGAAGCTTGGTAATTATTGCTGGCTAGAAAGAAATTATACCTTTTAAATGGAATGCGTAGCTCTGTAATTAAGTTAATTGTATCAATATTAATCTCTAAATGAGATAGAAAATTAATCGATGCTGTTTGCTCTAAGGGTCAGTGCAAAGTGAATAACAAAGTGCAAAATTTAAATATCAGTTATTAACTACATTTTTCTTAAACTTTATGACTAGCAGGGTTGGCAAATTTTTACTGAGGTGGAAATTGGCCTGAATAGTTTTTGCCACTGGAAAAATTCTTAGAATGAATGATGCTTATTAAAAATATAAAGCTATGATCAGTATTATTAAAGGAATTTGATATTCAAGATATATACTGATAAAATACATAAAAAGATGTAATGGTCATATTTTTTTATTGTATTATTTGAGTTAAAAAAAAATTTAGGATCTGAACAATAATTTTGTTGTTAATGATCTTGTTTTAAACTTAAATTATAATTAATGTGAAAAATGTGTTATTATATTTTGTGTTATATTATATTATATTCATCCTGATATCATTCAATCAGAAGTAGGAAACTTGTGTTAAATTTTATGTTAAACAGACAGAGAATTTCCAAAAATTGACTTAAAGTAAAAGTTTTTTTTAAAAAATTATTAATTCTACTTTAAATTAAGATCTTTTATCTACTCATTGGTTTATTGTTAATTTTGATTATTTTGGTTATTGTTAATTTTGAACACATAATCTATAAAGAAAAGGTATTTAAAACAGAAATTATCTTATTTTTAAAACGCGTAAATTTTTCTTTAAAGAAAATTAGACCGAAAAAAACAGTGTATAAGCAACAACTTATCCTTAAATTTTATCTAAAATTAATCTTTTGTTTAGATCCAGTAGATATTAAGTTTTGAGCTAATGCTGCTGCCATTGAAAAGACATTTTAAAATTTTTGTTTTATTCATTTCGATACTTCTTCAACTATCTATTTGTTCTGAAACTTTTTAAAAGCTTTTATTTTGCTATTCGATGGTGAAACAATTTTAACACAAATATTTAGCATTCGAAATAAAATTTTAAACTAGGTAAGCTGTCAATATAAGCAAACTGCTTTTTTTATGTTTTATTTGATAACTAAATTATTTATTATATATTCTATAAATTAAAATTTCTTGAACATTTCCTTATAGTTAATTTTATATTTACAAAAAGTTTAAAGTTATGTCTTGTAAATTTGAACTAATTTAATGTATTCCATTTTATAAATTTTTTTTCTTCCATTTCTTCTTTTGATTTCTCTTTTTGCCTCTGTCCTGACAAAAATAGTTTTGCCAAGTTTTTTTTTTTTTTTTTTTTAAATCTATGTAGAATAAGATTTACTTGTAGCCAAGATAAAGTAGCACTCAGTTTNATAAGAAATAAAATTTTAAACTAGGTAAGCTGTCAATATAAGCAAACTGCTTTTTTTATGTTTTATTTGATAACTAAATTATTTATTATATATTCTATAAATTAAAATTTCTTGAACATTTCCTTATAGTTAATTTTATATTTACAAAAAGTTTAAAGGTATGTCTTGTAAATTTGAACTAATTTAATGTATTCCATTTTACCAATTTTTTTTTCTTCCATTTCTTTTTTTGATTTCTCTTTTTGCCTCTGTCCTGGCAAAAATAGTTTTACCAAGTTTTTTTTTTTTTNTTTTTTATTTTTTTTTTTTTTTTTTTTTTTGAAATCTATGTAGAATAAGACTTCTAGCCAAGATAAAGTAGCACTCAGTTTGTTAACATGTACTGTAAATTAATTTTAACGATACCTTATTTTTGCAGAAATATGCTATAGTANGTTATAGGTATTCTTTTTGATATTCTTGTACATTAAGCTATTCTTTGTCAGATAACTTACAGTACTTGTTTGATATAAAGTAATTTTATAAGCCTAATGGCATTTTAGCATTTTGCTAAAACTTTTTTTCAGATTTTAGCTTTTTTGCTAATGAATTTTTAGACTCAGCTTAAACCCTGCTGTAAATTAATTTTAACGATGCCTTATTTTTGCAGAAATATGCTATAGTATGGTGTATTCCCACAATTCACATAAGAAGTGATTTTGATAGAAAACACTGATGTTTTTTTATAAGTAGGAAGTGTATGGTTATGTATGGAACAGTATACCAAATAATAAAGGAGGGGTTTTGCATGCAGATATGCACTTTTTTGTTTAAATTTTTATTGATCTCCCCAAATGGAAAATTACAATAAATTATGATACCAGGAAACAACACAAAAAGGCTCAAACTTTTTTTGAGCAATGAGAATATATAGTTCTTTCTTACAGTATTTCATTTGTCTAAAAAAAATTTGTTTAACACTATATTAATATTATGCACTATATTAACACTATATATTAAAAAATTGAAATAATTTTTGTTTCAATTATAGATGCTCAACCAGAAAGTTAGAACCATTGGCTAATAATTTAGGAAAGGTATGTGGAAATTTCTAATTTTTCTGTGATTTATTTTGCATTGCATTATTGAATTAAATAACTTAGAAGTAGAACATTAAAACATAATTTAATAAGTTGGTGTTCTATAACATTTCATGTGAAAGATTTTTCCTAATTCTATTTAATACTTTCCTCCAGTAAGATCTTTAAATTTGTTGCAAATCCTTTATCTTTTAAAAGAAAAAAAATCTTTATAAGTAGAACATTAATATTCCATTTTTCAAGATAATTATTTATAGGTTGCAGAGCAAAAGTTTGATAATCCGCAAAACAAAAAGTAAATGATAAAAAAAATTAATTTTGATTGTAAATATTACTATAAATAATAATTCATTTTACTAGAATTGAGACAGAATTTTGGTAATTTTAAAAATATTTCTCACAGTAGCAAAGTTAATGTATTAATATTTTCACAAATTAAAAGAATTAACAGCATCTCTACTTATAAATAATTTTTATACCTATACAAAAAGTCAAATTGAAGAAGACATCTTATAAGAAGAATTAAGAGTGAGATGCTGCAAGATAGATATACCCAGATACTTGCTTTTGCATTACTTGTAATATACGGATCAACTATACAATGAAGGGTTTAAATCTTGAATGAACCATTCTGGGACAAATTTGTTCAGAATTCTCAGGTTTTGGATTTAGTTTTTCTTGAAGCAGAAGATCTATCTCAGACTGATGAATCTCCGTCCTGTGGATTTGGCCACATGAAAATTTGGGGATGAAGTTCTAGTTAGCATTCATTCAAACAGAACATTCCTTTTTGTTTTTTCGGCTTCACAAGTTTTACAATTATCTAAAATGTTATCAAGGTTCTTCCATTTCCCTCAACAGAGATGAGAGTGCCAAAAAAGAGTTTTAGCAAAACGTTATACTTGTTTGAGTTGTTGCTGCAGACCAGCATAAAGTGATTTTGCAATATTTAGCTATATTGCTTATTAAATAAGTATTGTATTTTTGATGTAATATTTTCGTGCATTGTACACGTGTTCTGGAATTCGGTTGATATATTTCTAGAAAAATTGGAGAATTTTATTTATGAATATATTTTTCCTATTATTGTTAACATGTTTTATATTCAGTTATCAAAGTAGTTATGCAACTACATAAATCATTTTTTACTTTTACAGACTTAGCTTATTTGGTTAAATATATTCATATTTTAGTATATGTACTTCTGAATTAAGAATTTGATTTATTTTAATCTGTTAAATAATCTTTTCCAGGTTTTATTAACCAAAGGGGACATTGGTCTTAACCTTGTTGACATTGAAAGCTTTGCTGCTGTTGCTTGGATGTCTCAAGCCAACCCAAAATGTTCAGAAACTAATGCCGTGAAGTCTGAAAAGTCTTGCCAAAAAGATACTGCTTCCTTGGATACTCTAAATTGTGATTTAAGTAAATTATCACTGTCAGACAGTGGTGATGAAAACGAAAACAATTGTGAGAATTTCGAAGGCTCTCAAAGCAGCACTTCTTCTGAATCCTACTCAGACTATGAAATTTGCAGTTCTTGTACTTCCCACTGTAGTGAGTCTGACCTTAGTACTTTTGAATCCTCTGAAAGCTGTGATGAAAATGATAATGTCGAAGTTTAGTCATTTAAGTTAACTAGGGTGACCACAGAAAAAGAAAATCAAGGTAAACAGGGAAATTTATCAATCTAGAAATATCAGAAAAGTTAATAAATATGTCTAAAAAGATCAGGTAAAGGACATTGATTTTAGGTACTTTGAGAATCCAATATATTTTCCAAAAAAATCTGTGCTAATTCTGTTCTTTCTAATTCTCAATTTTAGTTTGCATTTATATATATAAAATTAAATTGCATAATTTAAGTTGAATTACCATTTATTTGAAAATATTGCACTACCAAAATTTTCAATGTTAAGGTACAGTATTTCACTATTGACAAGTATGCTAAGTGTGATAAAGAAAATTACTAATAATTTATTCTTACCTTTGATATGTCATAAATATTAACAGCAGCATAAATTTAAATAAAATATCTATGTGGTCCATTAAATCTCTTTCATTTTGGTTTAATCAATACTAAATAATTTAAATTGAATTAAAATTTATTAGAAAATATTCTATCAAAAATTTTTGTTTTTAATATTAAAAGACAATTTTTCATTATTGACATTTATGTTAAATGATAAAATTTACTAACAATTATTCTTATTTTTGATCTACTATAAATAGCAACAGCATAAATTTAAATAAAATATATGTATTGTCCATTAAATCTCTTTGTTATGGTTTAATCAATAAATATATGTGTATATGTCCTGAAAGTTTTTATGTCATTAATGCATTTGAGTTTATGAAATTTTGTAAGAATTGTATAATTTAAAAAGAAATTGGCAAGTTGAATTAATATTTATTAGAAAAAATGCACTATAAAAATTTTTTGTCTTCAATATATTTATGCTAGTTTACTAAAACTTACTTTTATCATTAATCTGTCTTAAATAACAACAGCATAAATTTAAATAAAACGTATGTGTAGTGCATTAAATTTCTTTATTTTAATTTAATCAAGTAATACATAGAACTTAAAAGGTTTTTATGTCATTCAGGTCTTTGTATTTATGAAATTTTATAAGTTGAATATAGTTTTATATAATTTTATAAGTTTTTTTTTTTAAGTTTAATTAACATTTATTAGAAAATATTGCACGAACAAAAATTTTCATCTTCAAAATTAAGAACCAGTGGACATTCTTACAAACTAAACAAAATTTACAGTGACTAATATAACAGTAACTGAAAGTTACTCTTTCCTTTTATTTGTCATAAATAGCTGCATAACTTTTAAATAAAATGTGTCATCCATTAAATCTCTTTGCTGTTACCTCTCTGAATTATTTCATTTAAAATGTTTGTTTGGTTTATTTTTGTACTGATTCATTTTCTTAAAAATTGCTTTTTTTTTTATTAAAAAAAATTCTTATACCAACTAAAAATGTTTTATAATATATTTTATGCAGATGAATAACATTTAACCAAAAAGCCTTCATTTTATGCCTTCAGTTACAAAATTAATAAAATTAGATAGTCAATAAAAATCAGGACATTTTTTTTCTTCTTTTTCTGAATAATTGTGGCCATCTTGTTAACCTAGAAAGCATTTATTTTCAAGAATTCATAAGAAAAGTTATGAATAAATGTTAGTACAAAAGAATTTTTATTGAAATAATCTACCAAAATTGAGAGAAAGAGTGCCACACTTTGTACATTTCTTTAGTATATATATTTTGTTTAACTACAAAGAAAGCATTTTTATATTTGTTGCACCTTTTTGGTTACATGTATTTAGAGCTAAACAGTGTGATTACTCTCAAGTAATATTCTTAGAATTAATTTGAGTAGATAGTTTTTGTTATTTGGAAGATATTCATTAACTAAACAAGAAAACTTATAAAGAAATGTCTGTTAATGATTATTTGAAATTAATTCAGGTACTTGTAGTTGTTAGTTGTAATTAAAAAATTTCTAGAACAGTACAATTTTGTAGAATTTGCTTTTTCCAGTTTAACTTTCTTTCCTCGTTTAACATTCGTAAAACAAAGGCCTATGTTAAAAGTGTAACAGTTTTAAATATATTGCATTTATTTTTAAAGTTGATCTATGTTTTCACAATTATTTTTCTGGGTTTTGAATATATAATAAATAAAATGTTCATTTACTACTAATTTAAACAATATTGGTGAGAAAAAAATTTTATTCCTGTATGAAAAGTTATTTAAAAAATTAATTCATAAAAATATTTTTTTTTCTTTAATATATTTTTTTTCTAGTTATTTGTGGTTTTGTAACTAGTCTTTCAAAATTGTAAATATGTGTTGATACTTTTTGTTTTTCATGCCTATGTGATAAAGTTATATTTTTTGTTTCCTAAACTTGAAACGTGTGCCTTATATTTTTGAAAGTGTTATAAATACTGTGATTCGAGCACATATATGGAATAAAAGAAACTTTTATATCTTCTATCTTTGTATTTATTTTTTATAAGAAAAAGAACTAAATAAGTATAGTTTCTAAGAATGTTAATATTTTGCATTTATAAAAAAAAATAATAATAATACTTATGCTAAGCATATGCTTCTTGATTTGTTGTACTTTTTTAAACAGTATTCTACCTTTATCCACAGTTCTATAAAGTTTCTTGATAGTACAATGAATATTCAATATCTGTTCCAGTTATTAATAATAAATAATAACCTTTGTACTATAAATACTGAAAAAAAATATAGGACCTGATTAAGTGCATATATGTGCACTTAATATGTGCTTACACATTCTGATTTTTTACACAATCTTAAAATTAGGCATGATTAATTTTCATGTGAAATCACAATATGGCACTGAAATTGGAATTGAGTAAAGTTATATGAAGAAAATTTCTCATATTTGATGGTAAATCAGGAAGGGTGTAGAATGACAGAGTTCTTATATAACCAAGGTATCTGGCAATCTAGATATGTTTACAAATGTTTGGAAGGAAAAAAAAAAATTTTAATTTTGAAAATATTATATTTTTTTTAGCATTTACAGAAATTTTAATCTTTACTAATTGCAATAAAATGAGTTTAGATAATTGAAAAAGGAAAATCTTATTTTTAACTTAAGACTCTTTTTATTGCTTACAACATATTCTGATTTGTATTTTATATAATCAAGGTGTCAAGCAATCTAGATATGTCTGGGGAAAAAAACATGGAGATTTTAACTTTCAAGTCTTGAAAATATTTATTTTTAAAAAAAATTATTGCTTATATATTCTGATTTGTATTTACACAATCTTCAAATTAAGCGTAATTAATTTTCATGTGATTGATGAATCACAAACACTCCCTATTGTTTGATTATGGCGCAAATTCCTCATATTCGACTGGGTGAATACTAAGAGTATTTTATATAATCAAGGTGTTTAGCAATCTAGATATGTCTGAAAGCATTTGGAGAAAAAAAAAATTCCAAATCTTGAAAATATTTAATTTCTTTGGCATTTAAAATTTTTAATCTAGACTAATTGCAATAATATTTGAGTCAAGAGAATAGGAAAAAAAATCTTATTAACTTCAAAAAAAATTATTGCATTTCCTATTATTTTTTTAAAACAATATTTTTTCCCTCCTTCAGTTAAAAATTCTTTCTGTATATGTAGATATGCCTTTACAAATTAATATTTTCAAAAATTAGAAATGCTTGGTAACAGAAAACATTTTTATTACAGTTTATAAAATATAAAGTTCTAATTAAGAAATATATGTTGCATACGCCATGCAGCGCCACCTGTAGTTGAGCAGACTCCCTCTACATTCACTTACACTCACTGAACGGCTACGGGGAGCGATCTCATTACGATGTTCCAGCTCTAATTATTTTCTATTGTCATTTAAGTGTTTTTTTGTCATAATAAAAGCTTTAAAACGCAACCCTAGACTCAGGGCCGGATTAAGACCTCTTGAGGCCCTAAGCACTGAAAATATTTTGGTGCACGCCCCCCCCCAACAATTANTTTAAGTGTTTTTTGTCATAATAAAAGCTTTAAAACGCAACCCTAGACTGCTTTGAAGCTTCATCGACACTCCCCGTCCGTAACATGGGGGCTCAGCCAAACCTGCTTAATTAAGTCAACAGCAGTATAAAAAGAAACGAAACTGCCGCCATTGATCATCAACAGCAAAAAACCGCCGTTCCTTCAAATCAACACCGTTGAAAAATTATTTGGAATCATCACGCAAAGGATAAAATTAACGGATTTACTTTCATTTCAAGAAATACAGGTAGGAGCAACTTTATTACTAAACATGTATAAAAATACGAGAAAAGAAGATCTACTACAGATCGCATTTGAATTAGGAATAACTGTACCGGAAAACGCTACGTTAATTACTCTAAAAGGCTTAATTGAAGCAAGTGATGTATTCAAAGAGAACGTAGATTTCGTTAAAAATCTAGTTGCATCAACCGTCGAAGAACGAAAAGCCCGCGAAGATAACGAAAGTGCTAAGATAGAATTAGAAAAAATTAAACTCGCACAGCTAGAACGCCAGATCGAATTAACAAACCTTCGAAACACTCCTAGTGCCAACCTGAACTCATCTAGAAATTCAGACGCAAGTGAAGATGGTCCCGATATCGAAAGTATTATTAGAAGCGTCCGAACACTTAGCATGCCTGTGCCGACAAGACCAGAGAACTACAGTTTATTTTAATCTCTTGAACGTTCGTTTACCACAAAAAGAGTACAGGATGAAATAAAATCTGAAATATTGATAAATATTTTAGGCGAAAAAGCAAGTCACGTTTTATTACTCATTTCAGAAAAAGATCTCCGAGATTATGAAAAAGTCTAAAATGCCGTTTTGAAACAATTTCAGCC